CAGCCTCAGTCCCTGATACTCTCATTAATCTCATATCTCAGAGGTCACCGAAGCTGCAAGAACTGAGGGTCTTGCACAAGTTTATACACTGGTCAGAAACACAGCTGACAGAGCTCAGCAAAAGAACACTGGCAGCTTTTTTCGAAAGACCCTTGTTTGGTTCCCTGTACATGTGTTATACCACCATGCCAGGCATGGAAATTTTTGTATTATATGTATTTTACTGCAATTGCCTGTTTGTTTGTTTTGTTTCTGTTTTTCAGTAGGGCTTCCAGGAAACTTTAAATTACATGCATGATTTATTTGTTCTCTCTTTCTCTCTGTCTCTGTGTTTTTGAGACAGGGTTTGACCTGAAACTTGCTATGGAGCCTATGCTGTCCTAAAAGTCACTCTGTAGCCAGGGATAACCTTGAATCCCGGATCCTCCTGCCTTCATCCCCCCCACCCCCCGTAGGATCATAGGTGTATGCCAGTATGCCCCAGGCATAGAACATGTCTTCAACTGTAATGTGACAAATCCCACTGTGACAAACTCACTGGTGGTTAGTGAGCTTAACAAGGGGACAAGGTCCTTAGGAGGGGACTCAAGAAGGATGGCTTGCCCTTTCTGCAAGGCATGCAGTCATGGAGGATGGGCCTGAGTCCATGGGGTTGCCAAGGCCCCTTCTGTTCAGATTCTCTTGTGACCACAAAGTGGTGACTGGAGTCTCGTCATATCAGGGGCTCTGGATCACTGGTCATAACAACTTAGGGCATGCAAAGGAGTATTTCCCTATAGAAGATCAATCACAGACACACATGCATGTGTCAGTTTCTTAATGAGCGTAAATTCATTCTCCTGTTGTGCTGTGGTTGAGATGGGACCTTGGGCTCTGGGAAGACTATGCAAGCACCCCATCACTGAGCCACTATGCAGCCAGAGATGACTGTGGACTCCTACCCCCGACTCCGTCTCCATCTTTCAGATGTTGGTATTACAAGCATTCATCACCAGGCCTGGTTCTTAAGCTCTTTTTGAGCCCATGGATGTGAATGCACCCCGATGATACCAGAATTCAACCTGCTACCCTACCTACTGGGACTAGTCTTTTATAGTCTGGGCTATAGGACAGCAGGCTCCCTGAGGGTAGTACCATACTTACAGCACATGCATGCAACATCAATGAGCACAGAAAGCATTAAAACAGCACAATAATACCATCTTTTCTGCTGTGGAGCTGGCCAGAGACCTCAGTGAGGGCCATGAGGCTGGTCCCCTGCCCTAGCTATCCACTCTCCCCCTAGAGGAACAGAAGTTTCTTGCCCAGGACCAATGAGTAGATGCCTTGGAAGTGACTACATATTGATATTACCAGCCCAGCCTGTCCCCTTGAGAGTGGATTCAGGATAACAGGTCACTCACTCAAGGGTACCAGGCCCCCTGCAGAGATGCAAAGGGCGTTTGCCATCCTGGTCAGGGGTGTTGGGGTCTGCTCCAGCCACCAACAGCACATGGACACAGGCAGCGTGACCTGCAGTACAGGCTTCGTGCAGTGCAGTGCGGCCCCCGGGGGCACTGTCCGGCTTTGCTCGACGCCTCAGCAGCAACCGAAGAACTTCAGTGTGGCCACGGCTGGCTGCCACATGCAGTGGAGTGGTCAGTTCCTCTTCGTATGTCAGAGACCAGAGTCCTAGGGAGAGAGGGGCGGAGGCCTCAGATCCCAAGGGGTAGTAAAGAGCTGCCAGTCAAGGGGATGACGCTGACAGAGGCAGAATGAAGGGACCCAGAGCTCGGTCTGCGCCCTCCCCTCTCCCACTCAGACCCTTCCATGCCCCAGCAGTACTCAGAGCACGGATGTTGAAGCGGTAATCTCTCCATCGCTCTGGGTCGCTGGTATCAAAGATGGAATCAGGCGCCAGACCCGTGCTGGAGTCCGAGAGGATTCGAGAGACAGAACACACATCCCCAACAAGTACTGCCTGCCAGAAGGCAAGGGCAGGTCCTGAAGCCGTGCGGATGCTGATAGGCCCCAGGCCAGGCTCAAGGTGCTCCTCAGACTCTCTGTCAGGCTGCTCCACCAGCCTGGCACAGAGGCTGTATCTGCTCCCCTGAGGCTCTCCCTGGTCCCTGCACTCCTCTGGGGACCAACTCATGAGCGTATGGGGAAAGGGATAGTGTCAGAAGGAAAGAGGAAAAGACTACAGGCAGAGAGAAAGGAAGGAGAGAACCATAGGCAGAGGGGACAGAGGTCCTATGTCCCTTGCTGGAGCCCGACCTGGCCACGATGTTCAACAGGAGCTATTCTGGGCTCCACATGACTTCTGTCTTGGGCCAAGGGCTAGGTTGTAGGGAAAGTTTGGTATGGAGAACAGCAGCTAGGGACTTCAACTTGCCCTCAGTCCCTGGGACCTCTGTTCCTGAGGGAGTCAGCCCAGCTCCCATCTCAGGCTTTCCCACCCCCAGCTGTCACCTCACCCCTCTGGTGACTGCTCCAGCGAGGCTCAGCTGTCCTACTCTCCAGCAGCAAGTCAGCTGTGCTGTGTGGGGGGAACAGATCCTGCAGCCTTGCCAGGTCCCCAGTGTACAATGAGTTCTGCAGAGCCATGTCACGGCACAGCAGCGGTGATGACCCAGGGGTCCTCCGGGCTGAGAAGGTCTGAGATCTCCAGATCTGGCAGGTAGGAGCAGAAGGAAGACACTCCAGATTGTGTCTCCTGTAGGGAGGGGAGCTTCTTCCCCCGGGCATGGCTGCTTTCTAGAAGAGGGAGCCAAAGAAGCAAGACTTGGGTCACGCTAAAGTTGAACTGTGCAGGCAGTGCTGGGCCCCAGCCAGGAGAAGCCCAGTGTGGGAGGAGCAAGAGTGCGGCAGGCCAGCTGTAAATAGCACCCGGCTGTCAGTACCTAGGTGAACTGCTCCTTCCGGACAGAGAGAGGGGTGGAAATGACATCGAGATTGAAGCATTGTCCAAGCCATTGCCTCACAGTCGGGATAAAACATCCCAGAGAAAGGAAGGCTGTGCCTAGGGACACACAGATAACTTGTCCCAGACCAGGACTGGAGCCGGGACCCTAAGATCCTTCTCGTCTGCTGCTGGTTCCACCACCAAGTCAGCTCCACATGCTTACGTCTGTGACCTCAAGGGAGGCTGCTGATTCCTGTTCCTGAAATACAACCTCCCACTCCTGAGCCCAAAGGAACCTGGTAGAGACAAGCATCAGAGACTTGGCATGAGGCGTCCTCAGGGGGTCTCTGGAAGTGACCTCTGTCCAGGAAAGCATAGCTCGGTCTTCAGGGAGCAACAGAATGACTCCTGTGCCCATTGGGTGCTGACCCTGCTCTGATCCTCAGTGTCCATCCTGGGTGCTGACCCTGCTCTGATTCTCAGTGTCCATCCTGGGTGCTGATTTTCACTTCCATCGCAGGAACCAATGTCCTATCCACCCTGAGCTCTGGCCTCCCATGCATTCTCGGTGCAAGCCTCCCCTTCTCATCTCAGGTTCCAGCTTCACTCCCTGGATGACCCCCTAGCATCTTCTATAGGGCAGCTCTACCTCTCCATAATTGTATGGGTGTCTTTTCTGGAAGTGACTGAGGAAGCCTCTCTGGCTATTCAGAGCTATAAAAGCGAGACTGCTTTTGTTGACGAAGGTAGGGATAAAAGGCAGAAGAGTGAAGAGAAAGGTGATGTGAAACCTTTGGGCTCAGCTCCGTTGTGTCTGCCTGACTTGGGTTCTGGGTTGCTCTAGCCTTGAGCTCTCACCTGGTATGGCTCACAGTGACTTTTTAAAAAATTGTATTTATATGAGTAGCTGTCTTCAGACACACCAGAAGAGGGCATCAGATTCCTCTATAGATGCTTCTTAGCCGCTATGTGGTTGCTAGGAACTGAACTCAGAACCTCTGGAGGAGCAGTCAGTGCTCTTACCTGCTGAGCCATCTCTCCAGCCCTCTCACTGAATCTCAACCATGGACACTGATTGACTTTTCTTATACCCTCTGCACAAGGTTGGCATGTCTGTCTTTTTCAGCCCTGGCTGGCAGGGTAGTCCTGGCCCCTTGAGTCTCCCACCCTCTTTGTAGGAGAGAGGTTGTAAGAGTTACTTTTCTCTTCACAATGACAAAATAAAAAACAAAAACTAAAAACAAACAAACAAACAAAAACCCCTAGTCAACAACAACAAATTTGACCAAAACAGCTCAAAGAATGAAGGATTTATTTTGGCTTCCAGTTCATGGGAACACAGTTGGTGATGTTGGGGCAGGCACGGCAGCAGGAGTGTGAGGCAGTGGGTCACAGTGCCTCCAAAATCAGCAAGCATAGAGTGAAGAACACGAGTGCCCAGATTACCGTCTCTTTTGCGTTCAGTATCCCATCCCACAAAACAGTTCTACCCACATTTAAGGTGGCTCTTCCCACCACGATCTACAAACTTCCTCCCAGAAATACCCAGAGGTTTGTCTCTAAGGTGATTCTAGATACTGTCAGGTGTCAGTCAATATTAACCATGAGCCATCATAGAGAGGAAGACCACTCTAGGACACCGCCTCTATCATCTCTGTGGCCCACCAGGGCCCCTCTAGCCCTCTATGCATCTCTGTGGTCCCCCATAGCCCCATCCCCTTCACTCCCTCACTCTGTAGATGCTTCAGCTGCATAAGTGAGTCCCAGATCAGGACGAACCTGATCTTAGAGGCTGTTCTATCCAAAGTCTCCTCACTTCATAAAGAAGGAAACCGAGGCACAGACAGGTTACAGAGGGAGGGAGTGCCTGTCGGCTAAAGCAGGGCCTTCCAGACTTGGTATTCTTTCCTTTGGATCTTCTCCTCTCTGTCCTTCCCTTCCTGTTATCCCCACTCCCTTAAGTACCTTGAACAAGTGAAGTGGAGAACCAGTGTGGGGAAAAAAGACAAGACAAAGTCACAGGTGTGGTAGGAGGAGCTCTGGCAGCCAAAGCAGAGGTTGGAGGAGCCAGGGCACAGAGGTGGGCCCAAGGACAGGAAGCCATGAAGATTGATGACAAGAGAAGAGAGCCACCTGGGCCTTTATGTGTCTGTCACACCCTTAACTCTGGAGGCACCCACCATTTACCACATCACACCCTACAGCAGAGACCATCACTTTTTCTTCTTCTTCTCCTTTGCCAGTCTGGCCTCCTCAGCCTCCAGTTGTTCCTTGGTAAATTTCATATTCTTTTTCCCCAGTGGAGTCTTGAAAAACCATTCCTGGGTCGGCAGAGAAGCAGGGATTGGTTCCCTGGATGCAATCCTCCCTCAGCCTTACAACTTTCTCCCATCATCCTCTCAGGCTTGATGAGTGGATTGTTCCATCACAGTAGGGGCTTTTACTAGTTTCCACTAATTACCTCAGGCCCTAGAGTCACACATTCTTGAGAGGCTTGCCCTCTCCCCTCCAGCCCTACAGGCCTCAGTGACTCCTAAGGTCAACCTCCCTCTGGGGATGGTGGTCAAGTCAACAGAAGTGCCAGCAGCCCAGGTGGTCCTGCCCAGCATTTTCCCTCAGACTCCCACACCTCTGCCCCTCCCTAGAGTTAATTGTTTCCTTTCTCAGTTGACAATCAAGTGCCTTTGTCCCAACCTTCTCCTGGCAATGTAGGGAATAACGGGACTAGCCCCAGACATTCGGAGGGCTGACTCCAGGTTGCTATGGCCCAGCCCACCGACCATGGCCTAACAACTTCACCTTAAGGGTTTCTTCCTCCTCCCTGAATACTGGATTCAGCCTTGCCAAGTGTCCCACAAATTCGGAGGCGACCAGTGGCTTCTTGGTCAGCTGAAGGAGCCGGCGTTCTGTCAGCACTGACTGGACAGACTGCAGGATGTGACCGGGTGTGTAGCCATCAGACACCCTAGCCAGGGCACTAATGTCCAGACTCGGGGTCAGCTGCACACCCATTCCTTGGTTCTCTATCATCCGTTTCCAGAGCACTGCAGAGAGAGCAAAGAGCAAGGCATGTAGGTCAGAGAACAGCAGCAAAGCGAGGCCTACAGCCTCTGCCTTCGTCCAAGCAGCTCTGGGCCCATGGAGGGCAGCATGGATAGTTACATGCTCAGTATCCATTACACTGAGATTATCAGCCAGAGAACTGGGCTGCTAGCTTATGGCTTTTCCAGACCTGTCATTCGGTGCTAGAATTGAGGGCTCAGAACAAAAGTGAGGGATGGGGAGAAGGTGGAGACTGAAAAGGGCGGTGGTCCCTGGATTCCATTCCTGGCCTCACCATAACGAGAAGCATAATCAGGCCGGGGCATGAAGAGGATGCGCTCATAGAACCGGCACAGCCCCTTCATCTCAGCCAATTGTGGGCGTTCCGTAGTCCCGATCAGCATCACTCGGTCGCCAGGGCTCAGCTGTCGTGTGGCCTTCATGAGGTCTTTCTTTATCCTCTTTGGGTCCAACTGCTCCAAGGAGGGAAAGTTGTGAGTTTGGAACACAGTGACAGGGGCCGTGGGACACCCTCATTCTCAGAGCACATAGCCTAGGGCTGTGCTTCACGTCAGTCCTGAGTGGGGCAGCTTTGAGGTAAGGAAAGTAGGCATGACAAGAACAGGGCACTTGAGCAAAGCGTCAGAGAGTTGAATGACGTCAATGACTTGAGCAAGACTTCCACCCTGGACCCACATTCTGGTTATCCATCCCAGCCCCTTCTGCCCACAGTCCTCACCTTCCTTTCTTCCTTCGGGATCTTCTTGTAAAAGGTTTTCTCAGTATTTCCAATCCAAATGACAGAGGGCTGGAGGACCCGGGCCACCTGGATAGGTTAGAGTGTAATTACCAAATGCCAGACATCCCTGGGCCAAGGGTCACATCCCCAGCTGCTCAGACCTCAGAGCCCCTAACCTCTACCTGATTCTCCCATCTCCATCCCCTCCCACATTCCCTAGCACAGGGGCTTCAGGGGACGACAGGCTCCCACAAGGGTTACTGGAAAGATGTCAGAGTTCAGGTCCCTTTTATTTCAGTACAACATACATTGTCCCCAAAGTATTCAGAATGCCCACCCTGCTGTTGTCTCTATCCTGAGAAATCAACCTATGCTTCAAGCTCAAGGCTACAGACCTTAAAGACAATGTGCACCAGTAGCTGTGCTCCGTTCTTTCCTGGGTATTTGCCCATCACGTTGTCAGGTGACAGGTCAAACAGGTTGGCACCAGTTTCTGTGCACACCGCTTGAACCAACATCTTTTTCCCCATGCCAGGGGGTCCCACCAGGAGGATGGAGCGGACATGGGGAGCCATGGTATGTATGTCATGGGAGCCTAGGAGGAAGCAGAGAGGGCTGGGGCAGGCAATGGGCCAAAATTGGGCAGTAGGCTGTAGAAGACCCTGGAAGGTTCTGCCAAGGCCTGGGGCTAAGAGGGTGAAGTGAGGGTCTGGGCTGTGCTATCTTCTCCAATACCTGAGTAGCTTCCCCAGGTCTGCACCAACAGCCTGCTTGGCAACCTCTGTGGTAGGGAACTGTGTGTAAGGGCCAGTAGGGGACACAGCTTTTCCTTCCATACCATACAATTCCACCCTGGTGGGTGGCATTGAAAAGCACGTGACACACTGTTTGCAAGGCTTCTGGTCTCTGGCCTTTAATAAACTTGCAGGGATGCCTCTCTGAGAACGAGACTGACTACAGGATGTCAGTTTGAATTGAGCAAGTCATGGGCTCACTTGATCTCTAAGGTGGCTGGCCCTATTTGAGTGTAACAGCAGAAGAATCTGTGAAGGTCCACTAGCTTTGCACACTCTCCTCAGCCACGCTCCTGTGGTCCCACCCAGCCCTGGCTTTTCACACTCCCCTGGAATTCTCACCCAGCCGGAGAACCCCATACAGCGCCATGTTCTGCCGTATATCAAACAGGGAAGGCATGGGCATCTTGTTTGCCAAAGTCAGAGTGGACCCGAGATAGAGGCAATCACCTGTGGGGACCAGGAGGGGACTGCTGATGAGTGACACTCTTGTGAGTGTCTGTGGGAGAGATCTGTTGGAAAGGAGGCCTCAGGAAGTGGGGCAGGTGTGGAAGGGCAAGGGTGACCACACCTAGATGCACATGGGAGAGGCTCACCAATGTAGTCATTCAGTGTCACCAGCACAGACTTCTTTATAAGGCCAACAACAACAAGCTCTTCATACAGTGAGTCCACAGTCCTGTGGGAAGGACATCACAGACATTAGTGGGAGGGGACAAGGGAGAAGGAAGTGGAGAGGGGGGCGTGAGCACGAGAAGAAGAGATAAGGGGGTGCCCTGGCAATGTTCTCTGATCAGAAATATCTACATGGCTTCTGGACAGCCAGAATCAGTACTCGAGGTCCTGACCACTGTGTCAGGGGATAGACATTCCACAGTGAGTGCCCTGTGGAGTGTGGCAGAAGCCAAGGCCCACTGCAACAATGCCTGCTAGGCTTTCCTTTCCACCATTTGAAGTCTGAGTTCAGCACAAACCTTCCCCACCCCCACCGCTTGCCCCTCGCCTCCTAAACAAAGTGTAAAGTGTGACTGCCCTTGTGAGTTGTGGCCCTCCAGCAGGGGGCATTAGCTAGTAGAAGGCTTCTAGTAGGTCCCCCAGTGCCCCTAGGGTATTTAATGCAGGCACAGATTGAAGGGACAGCCAGTTAAAGATTGAGGCGATAATGTATATGATAATTATAAGCCAGTGTGCTGTTTTCCTTTGTGTGTGTGTGTGTGTGTGTGTGTGTGCACATGTGCATGCATGTGAGCATGTATATTGAAGTCAAAGGTCAATGTCAAGTTGCCTCTCCTTGCTTGATGGCTCACCCTCTACCTGAGAGCCATTAATTCTACCTGACCAGCTAGCCAGTGAGCGTCAGTGATCCGCTTGTCTTCCAATACACACCTCACCCCCTGATTCACAAGGGGCAACCAACTCACCCAGCTCTGTTTGCTTGTTTGTTTGTTTTGTTTTTCAAGACAGGGTTTCTCTATGTAGCCCTGGAAGTCCAAAAACTCACTCTGCAGACTAGACTAGCCTCAAACTCCCAGAGATCCTCCTGCCTCCACTAGGATTTAAAGGTATGTGCCCCGAGCTATTTCCATTTTTGAAGGCAGAAAATCAGTTGACGAGGTTAGGGGTTCACAGAGTGAAGTAACTTCCCTAATGCTACCTAACAACAGAACCAGGGTGTGTACCTGGCCCCTCCCCGTTCACAGTTAAGGCTTGCACAGCAGGATCCACTACCTGTCTGGGGTCAGATCCTTTTCCTTCTTCTTCTTTCCACTTTTTTTCCCACCTTTTTTCTGGTGGGAAATGAGTACACAGGTAATTGCCATCTGTTCCCAACTCAACCCCAGATACCCTCTCCACCCCAGCCCTGGACCCTTATCTGCCTTTGGAGACTTGAGGGGTCTAGTCTCCTCCTTGTCCACAGCCAGCCGTAAATTCTTCAGTTCCTGTCTCATTAGCTCATCCACCTGGGTACATGGCAGGGCCGAATAGGTGAGAGGAGGGAGGGGAGGGAGAGGAGCTTTGGAGGTGGAAGGGGATAGACAAGGCTTTCCCACTAGAGACACGGCATGTCTTTGATCCATTGATCCTGTCCACACCAGATCTGAATCCACAGTTTGCTCTCCATGACGAGGCAGCCACCCTCACCAGCCATTAACTTTGGATGGAATCCACAAAATAGAGTCAGAGCCAGAAATCTTCCCCTTAAAATCTCTGTGACCCAAGCAGCTATAGGATTTTCTATGGGCTGCTGGAAGCCAGCAAGCCCTTGGTCTCCACCAAGGATGGGTCTGAAGGATGACATACTCTTATCAGCAGACAGCCCCAGTCATGAGGTTGAGTGTCTCGGGGTGGGGGGGAAGGGGGACATACTCAGCACTGTGACAAATCTGACTGGAGTTCTGAGCCTCTCCCCCCTCTTCCCCCCCTCACATCCTTATTGATCCCTGAGGGTAAAGGGGACGTTGGAGAAGCTGGGGACAGGTGGGGTAGCAGGTAGAGCCTGGCCTGAGAACAGAGGATTGGCTGGATGACAGGGTGGGAACTGGGGACAGGTGGGAACTGGGGATGGGTAGGAGGGCTCCGAAGTGGCGAGGCTTTTCAGTGGTGGGTAGAGGGTGTGAGAGAACAGCTGAGGCCAGCCTCAGGCTGTGTGCCCACCTGTGCCCGGATCTCCATCTCCACTTGCTTTCTTTTCTCCTCCCGGAGGGTCTCAGAGTCAAAGTTCTGGCTGGGGTGTTTGTTGTCATACCGGCTCTTCCACATACCTAACCACATTTAAAAAAAAAAAAAGGGCAAAACACACACACACACACACACACACACACGAGTTCCCTAGCTAGCCTCCTGTCCTTGCTAGCTGCCCAGCCCTGCTTCTACCCTAGGCTTAACAGCTTGACTCAAGAATTCTGAAGAAAACAAGTGATGTCCCCACCCACCAACCATCACACACTTCTTTAGCCCCTTCCCTCTCCTGTCGATGTCACTCCTGTAGCAGAAACCTACTTTGTCCGTGACCTAAGACCCAAGACACTGCACCCCGGGCACAATGCACCCCAGCCCTCCATCCTTACTTGTGTATTCCTCGTGACCAGCATTAATCACGGGGATAGATTTGGATGGTAGGACTTTGAACATCACTTCTGGCTCCTAGAATGGAAAGGTGAGACCAACTTTGCCTCTTCACTGTGTCTTTAGGAGACTGGGAGATCCTCCCTCGAAGCTGTCTACAGCAATGCCACAGGCTCTCCCTCCCGGCCCACAAGCTCCACTGCTGAAAGCTAGCTAACCTTCTTGCCCTTTTCTTCTTTGGTTTTCTTTTTCTTCTTCTCCTTTTTTTCCTTCTCTTTCTCCTTAGTCTTCTCTTGGTCCTTCTTTCTACTCTCCTGGGCTTGTGCTTCCAGTTCTAGTCTCACCTGGATCCAACAACAAGCAACGTTCTGGAGACTGGAGGATTTCATAGAAGGGAATGAACCCAATGCCTGGCCTAGCTGGGCGGACCTGCTCTCACAGCCTTGGCAAACTGCCAAGGTAGAGACACAAGAGTGAGCCAAGATGGTACTAGGGGGTCAAACAAGAGAAGGGTGCTGGGAAGAACCGACCTCATCAGAGCCACTGCCCACTCCGGGACCATCCTCAATGGTCTTCCCAGTCCATTCCCTCCGCCATGATTGCCTTCAGCCCCATCCAGTCTCTTTAGACACATGTCTTTCCTCTGATCGCAGCACTCTCTGTTTAGGCTGACTCTTCCAATCCACTGCCACTCTCAGCTCACATTAACTGTTGTCTGTAATCACAGGCTGGGCCTGTTCCCACTCAAGAGTACCTGTTCTGGAGTCTTGTCTGCAAAGATCAGGTAGGATCCACCTGAAGCCTCATCTGGATAATCAGGGAACCGACCAGTAAGGGCACTGCATGGATACAATACAGTTAGAGATGGTGGAGGGGTGGGTGGAGGGGTGGGTGGAGGGGTGGGTGGGGGGGGGGGTAGAGGGGGGGGGGGAGGGGTGGGTGGACGACTGACTACTGATAGATGAATAGGTGGATAGGCACAGAGATGGGGTGGTTGAAGAGACGGAAGGAAGAATGGATGGATGAAAGAGAGCTGGGGGATGATGGAAAGAACAGATAGTTAGAATGGAAAGGATGCTATGGCATCATTCATGACACTTTTGTCTGGTACCTTCTCTTCTCTCAGGGAAATGGGAAGTCAGGCATGGAGACGGCCTTACAGCGGGTCTCAAGGCCTAGACCAAGAGTGTTAGGAGAGAGTAAGAGATGATAGAGAGGGGACAGTCTCCTGAGAGAACAGGTTGGGGGATGAGGTATGGAAGGTTGAGTCCGCTGTGGTGGTGGACACTGACTGGCATTCAATAAACCATTGTCGTATTTGATCCTTCATCCTCTCCTTCATGTCGGGTCCCTCAGTCTCCGTGAGAGACTCATGGGTCTTCCCTATGGCTTCCTGGAATTCCTCTTCCTTTTCCACCTGCCGGGTCCTCCGTGACTCCTCCCCCATAAAGGCCTGGGAAAGGATATTCAGGCGTGCTGTCTGGTTGGGCGAGGGGAGCTAGAGAAAATAGAGGCCAAGATTTTACAACGGATGGCCCAGCCCCCATATTTAGACACACACACCTGCCCCCACTCAGTTCCCAACACCCCCCCCCACACACACACACACACGCCTATGTCTCATGCACATGCCCTCATGGAACAACGGGCATGCCTGCATCAGGAGAAATTGTGTTTGGAGCTGAAATTTGTCTGTGTAAATTACCCTGGTAATGAGTTTGCTAGATGCTATCCGGGCTGTACTCCCCCCTCCCTAGCAGCCCTCCCCCGTGAGCCTGGGGCCCCAGCCCCCACGCATGCCCCGCCCGGCGGCCGAGTTGGCAGCCGCTCTCACAACCACTTTCCCGCCTCATTGGCTCCCAAATGTATTTTAAATATCACTCTGCGCAGAGACAATTACTGAAAACGCTGAGCTCACACTGCTGATGGGCCCGGGCGGCCAGGCTCATTCCTCACCCACTGCTCTTGCCCCCCCTCCCTCCTGGGGGACCCGTTCTGCAGCCTCCTAGCAAGTCTTTGACCTCTACTCCTGCACAGCAGCCCTTAGTAGCCAACCAGTCTGCACCCCCAAAAAGCCTTCCTTTTAGTCCCTCTGACCTTAACCTTGCCCCGCCCCTTGCCCCGCCCCTCTGCCAGCCAGGTCTCCAGAGGATCCTTCCAGGGCAAAGCTCCAGACCCTCACCCTGTCAGGGCCTTCAACAGAGACTGGCTGGCTAAAGGAAGGGTGTGAGAACGGAGGTCACTTTAAGAGAATGGGGGTGCTTCAACTGGACATGTACAGTGCATCATACAAGGGTCCCAGTCCCTTCCCACTGCACACCCCCATGCGTGGTTACTCTCAGCAGTCCAGAGAAGCTCATCCGGGCTCCTAAAGCAAGTGGGAGAGCCTGTAGCCTCAGAAGTCCTGGCTTAGGGGTATATTCCTACCCCAACGTGGCTTCCAAGGTTTTTTCTGAAAGGGGTTCGACAGAATGCTGCCGCTGGACCCACCCCTGCAGCCTCTCCTTCCAGCTAGGGCAGGGATGCACGGTCTGGGATGCCCTGTGCCATCACTTTCCTGTCTCCACCCCCACATTTGATATCCTACGGGATGCTCTAGAGCGGGAAGCAGTGGGAAACCTCAGTGAGTTCCCTGTCCTTATGCTTCTTTTTCCCCCAGGGTCTCCCGCCTTGCTTCAGCGGAGGAGGGTAGACCCTGGTTACAGGGGCGAGGCTGATGAAGGCGGGGTGCTCTGGGAGGGTCAGGGAGGGCTCACCATGCCGATAAACTCCATCTCTACGCGTCGATCCTGCTCGATGCGCTTCCTCTGCAGGTAACCTTTCCACACCTGGGGTTGAGGGGGGGCATATGCCACTTAGTTGTTTTCCAGGCCATGTGACTTCAGGCCTAGCGTGGAGGAGGGGTGACTGCTGTTGGCTGATGTCTCCTAAGGTATTGGCACAGGAAGTTAGGGGTGGGACTGGAGGAAGGAGGGTGGTGAGTGCCCTGGAACTGGAGTTATGATGGTTGTGAGTTGCCATGTGGGTGCTGAGAACCAAACTCAAAGCCTCTACAAGAGCAGCCAGGAGTCTTAACCTCTAGACACCTCTCCAGACCCTCCCAGCAGTTTTGATCTAAAGAAACTGGGCTACAGATGAGACATAACCTCTTTAGCACCTAGGTTAGAGAGTGAACCAATGTGCTTTCTTAGGTACCAGGCACGTCCATCCCAAGACACCTTTGGTCTTATTGACAGATTAATGTCCTGGGTTTAGCATCAAGCTGTTGGATCACAGACCTGAGGCATTTTTACTCCTGGGATTAATCACTGTGTCCAGCTTTTACTGAGAGAAGTGAGTCTACCCTGGCCTTCGTTTTTCCACTCCAGGTTACCTTTTGTATGACAATGGCTCCCTGGTCCTGACTGAATTTCTGTCGCCCATTCTCCCGAATCCTCCGATCCCGTTCCTCCTCTTTGCGGATCTCTCGCATGAAGGTGGCTCGAAGTCGGCCCTGCCTTGCCCGTTCAGCGCTTTGCACTAGAATCAGGGCCTCAGTCCGGGTCAATCCTCGAATATTCTGATCATAACAGGGACAAAAAGAACAGTAAGACAGAAGAGCCGTGCTCGTACCCAGGGTGGGCTGCAGAGAGATCAATCGGCAGTGATGTAGTGGGGCCATAGTCCTAGGTGCTTGAGATACATCCTTCAGTGACACAGAGAATATACGAGCAGTCTTGGAGAGGCTGTAGACTGCCTCTGAAGTGGGAGTAGGGTGGGACAGAGCCTGTTTATGCTGAGAAAAGATGTAGAAGGGGTCTGGGGGGTGCCCCCGCTTACAGGAAACACTCTAGCAGGCATGAAGATGCGCTGAGGAGACACTGTGCCCCTCTCTCTGGCTGTCAGGTGATTGAGACAATGGACCTCAATGAACTAGAATTTCCCCCAGGAAGATCATGAAAGAAAAGGAGCCTGGTGCCAGCTAGGGGGCGAGCTTGTCTCCCAGAAAGATGCTCACAGAGTTGAACCACTGTCAATTGGAGCCCACATGATGATGATGATGATGATGATGGTGGTGGTGGTGGTGGTGGTGGTGGGTGAGACTTTGAGGTGGCTACTTAGTTATACTATTTCTGGCCCTCTATTTAAACCTAAACCTAATGTTATGACACTGAAGGTGAACTTGAAATCTCTTTTTTTATGCTTCTTCCGAAGGTGGCCACACTGAGTACGGCTTTTCCTGCTCTTCACCATTAATTTGTCTAACAAGCAATTTGAGGGCACATAAGTGAACCTACCTATCTTGTTAAGACTTCTAGGACTCAGGTTCTGACCCTAATGACTCTAGCAACATTACCTCCTGAGAAACCAGTGGCTCCAGTCTGTTCAGGATCTCGGCCAGCATCTGCTGACGTGCCTTCATGGCGCTGGACTGCTCCAGCTGAAAATATTTGGGGATGGGAACCTCCAGGTCTGCCTTTAGCACAGTATGGGGGGAGAAGGAGGGTCAGGAATTAGAAAGTTAGGCCCTCTGGTCCATCGTCTGGGTTTCCAGACATTTCTATTTCCTTTCCACCTAGAAACCTGGGGTGAGAAATGTATGGATTCTGGTTGAGGACCCAACAGTCACCCCTTTCTTATTCTGCCCCACATCTGGTTGAGATTAACTCTGGCCAAACCCAGCCATTCCTCAGGATCCACAGGAAAGCATTTGATAATGCCTTTATCATCCAGACTGCAACAGAACATGGTATCTGGAGAACCCCTCTTCCCTTCCGTACCCCTAAGTCTACTGGAAGCTGGCTGAGGACTTGAAGTTCCTTTGGCTATTGAGTAAGTATCATATCCTGGCCTTCACGGGACAGGACTGGAGACTGCCTAGTGCTGTGCCAAACCTCTAGAACTTGGCAACGCTCACAGATCTCCTGGAGATATTTTGAGAAACACGTGCAGATTTAGTGGGTCTGAGATACATTCTGCATTTCCAACAAGATCTTAGCTGATGGCCAGGGACCAGACTTTGAGAAGCAAGCCTCCAGAGGACCCTCCTCCCCCACCCTTTGTGACTTCTAGGTCTTCTCAGACACAGTGTGGGAGGCCAGGTCTCTCAAAAGCCCCCCAGTTCCTGAGTCTAAATTCCAAGTCCCATTGCCTTGTCCCCTAACAGAACTGCCTCAGGTCATGGCCCACCCAATCCCAACCCACAAGGGGCTCAACTCCCATCCTGCCTTGAGTGGCTGCTCCCGTACCCACCGGGGTCAGCTTGAGATCTTGCAACACTCGGTCAAGGCAGTGGGTCTCGCACAGGTCAACGCGCACCAGCTCGTCCTTGAGCTCCAGCACGCGTCCCGCCACGCCGTCCAGAAGGCGCCTCAGCAACCTACGCTTCTGTGGCTGCACCATCTGGTCATAGGCCAGGTTGAAGCGGCGCAGCAGCCCCAGGTAGTACAGGTAAAGCACCGAGATCCTGTACTGGAAGCTCTGCCGCTCCCGGCTGGGCACAGGTTCGAGCAGAGATGGCTCTTTTTCCAGCACCAATTCGAGAGTCTCGTGGGAGGCATCCCAGAGGCGTTGGTAAGTTCTAGAGAAAGTACACTAGCTGTGTGCCGCAGCACCACCACTGAGTGGGAACAGTGGAGACAGGGGACCGAATTGCTATCTTTGGGGGACTGTGAACTTAGGGTCCAGAGGCTCATCATGGTGTCAAAGTGGACTTCAGTGAAGTGAGGGGCTGCTGAAGAAGAGCGAGCACTGGCCTGACTTGGAGGTCTACACTAAGGGGTTTGAGGCCTTGATGGATCAGAAAGAACAGTGAGGACCACCTCACTGGAAAGGTGGAAAGATGGAAAGGTGCCTTGGGCCCAGGCATCCTTGTGAAGATGAGAGTCTAGCGACCTTTGTACAAAGGGGTCCCATCCACTATGTGGTAATGGTCTAGAGTAGTGGGTAAGGGGTGAGAACAGACATGGGATTAGTTCCCCCAGAGTCTTGGAGCTGGAATAGTCCAGGAGAAGTCTGCAGACTTCTGAATCCCTGGGACAGGAGGTAGAATGAGGGACCATGTGAATGCCTAAACCCACACAGGGCCTGCCAGCTCCCAGCTCCCCTTTGCTCAGGCCTCTCAAGTCCAGTGAGGTGTTTGCTCTGTGCCCCTCAAGCCCTCAACTCACCCCTCAGACATGGTGTCTTCACCTCTCGATGCCCTTTGTGAGTAGGTGGAACCTGCAAAAGCTAAGCAAGAGGTGGAACAGTCTGGTTTGAAGAATTCCAACCCATTGTGCCTATGTTCTAAAGCTGAGGGGTGGGGCTGGGAGTTCAGGGCTGGGGACACTTGTCTAGGAAGACAACCTTGAGGCTGCACATTCAGAGTCCACAGGCAATAGCTATAGGAATGTCAGGACAGAATGTAGGACAACTCTGGCCACTATTGGTGTGCTTATCGATAAAGTAACACTCTCATGACCAAAGCAACTTTAGAAGAATTTGTTTTGGCTTATGGTTCCAGAGTGCTAGAGTCCATAATGGCAGGTGAGTGGCATTGGGATACTTCCTCTAGCCAGGCCATGCCTCCTAAACCTCCCTAAATAGTGCCACTGACTAAGGACCAAAATATTCAAATGTGGTAGACTAAAAGAGACATCTCATTCAACCACCACAAACACTATTACACTATGACCATCCTCCTCTCCTATGCTATGCAGTTTTTACTCCTTTGGGGGGATAAAGCATTGGGAATAGAATTAGGGCCTGGTACATGATAAGCACACATTCTAGCCCTGAGTCACCTCCTCAGCATGGTCTTGACTCTTGTGTCTGACCTACCTTAGAAGTCTGGATGGTAGAAGCAGGGAAAGAAAGGTACTGGATTGTGGTCAGAAAGCCCTAAACTCTCAGCTCCCCTGATTTTGGTTGTGGGGGCACTTTTTTTTTGCTCAGTATTAAGCAGGGGTAAGAAAGAAAGGAGGAATAGATTGAGGAAGAGTAAAGAAGAAGGAAGGCAGGAAGAGAGGAAAGACCAAGGAGGAGGAAGAAGGAAGTCAGCAGAAGGACATGCAGATTCCCATACTTGCTGTGGACAACTGGGGGATGTTGGTTAGGTGGAGGCTCCAGTCAGGGCTGAGGTGTGCTCCTCACTCCTCTTGTCTCCCAGGTGCTGCTAATCCATAAGTTACACCTTCAGCATCAAAGATTAAATCAAGAGGTGAACTGGGGCTCAGGCCAGATCTCCTGCCTGTGCCTCCTGCCTGCTGGGATTACAGATGTGAGCCATCACTCCTCTTTCCATGTCTTGAAGAGTAGATTTGCAGACTGAGGTTGTAGCTCAGTGGGTAGAGTGCTTGCCTAGCACGCACAAAAGTCCTGCACTGAATAAACAGAGCTTGGTGGTGCACACCTGTAATCCCAGCACAAGGAGGTAGAAGGAAGAAGATCAGGGTTCAAGGTCATCTTCAGCAAAATGTGATGGAGGCCAGCCTGGGCTACATGAAACCTGTTTCAAAAGCTGAATGGTGGCGGTATATGCCCTTAATCCCAACATGAGGGAGGCAGAGACAGGTGAATCTCTGAATGCAAGGCCAGCCTGGTCTACAGAGAGAGAGTGCTAGGACAGTCAGAGCTATATGGAGAAACCCTGTCTCAAGGGAAAAAAAAACTATCTGAAAAATAAGAAAGAAAAATATCAATCACCACCAACACCCCCATTCCAAAACAAACAAATACATTTGTGTTGTGCTGGGAGACAGCACAGGGGCATGCAACTCAATGTCACAAACCCATCATCGAAGGTAACATATCCTAGAAATTGTGGGCCAAGAAATGGAAAGGATCCTAGCTTGGGCCCTGCTTCAGTTCACTGTATCACTGCATCACTGCATCACTGTATTACTGTAACACTGTATCACTGTATTACTGTAACACAGTATCACCATACTACTGTAACATTGCATCACTGTATTACTGTAACACTGTATCGCTATATTACTGTAGCACTGCAGCACTGTATCACTATATTACTGTAACATTGTATCATTGTATTACTGTAACACTGTAGCACTGTATTACTGTAACATGATATCACTATATCATTGTATCACTATATCACTGTAACACTGTATCACTATAACACTGTATCACTGTATCACTGTGCCACTGTATCACTGTAACTCTGCATCACTGTAACACTGTATCACTGTAACACTGTATCACTGTATTACTGTAGCACTCTATCACTGTATCACTGTAACACTCTATCACTGTTGCTGTAACAATCTATCACTGTATTACTGTAATACTTTATCACTGTCACATTTTATCACTGTTGCTGTAATGTTGTATTACTGTATTACTGTATCACTGTCACTGTAACACTGTATCATTGTTGCTGTAACACTGTATCACTATCACTGTATTACTGTAACACTGTATCATTGTCACTGTAACACTATATGACTATATTACTGTATCACTGTATTACCGTAATACTGCACCTCTGTGTTACTGTACCACTGTATTACTGTATTGGTCATTAATTTACAAAGCACTGTCACCTGTTTCTCATGGCATATCTCCAGATAGCAGTTTTTAGAGAATGTGTTAGGATTCCACTTGTAACTTTAAACATGGAGGACAGTGTTGCTCCAGACAATACTTTGGCTTAACACATCCCCTTTTCAAATCACCACTGTGCACAAGAATAGACTATATGTCACTTGGAGCTGGTGTAGTTAATGATGTCCTTGGTGCTCTCTGACACAACCCTTGACCAGTTCTCTGGGCAACAACAGACAAAGATGCCTGGGCTTTCCAGAGAGTCAGGATGTTTCAGCTTGGCTGGGCCATTCAGAAGATATCACTCACAAAGGAATTTGTGATGGGTAACCATGTTTGTCAACTTGAGATTCCTGGGAAGAGGGGCCCTGAATTGAAGAACTGGTTCCATCAGACTGGCTTGTCTCCATGCCTGTGAGGTATTTTCTTGATTCCTACAAGAAATGCAGTAGGACTAGACCACTATGGTCAGTTCTACCCTAAGGCAGGCAGGCTTAGGCTGTGTAAATTGTGTGAACTTGACCCTAAGGGCAAGTCTGTAAGCAACATTCCTCTGCAGTTTCTGTTCCAGGTTCTTTCCTGCTTGGGAGGTCCTGCCCTGATTTCCCTCAAGGGTCCATTGCAAGCTGTAAACTGAAATAAAGTCTTTCTTTTCCGAGTTGTTTTTGGTTATGGTGTTTAACACAGCAACAGAATACAAACTAGGACAGAATTCATGATCAATCCATGGCCCTGGCAAAGATGGATGTCAGGGATGTGTTAATGGGGGAGTTTAAGGAGAATAGTGACTGAGACCCCAGTCCTGACACAAAGAAACAGGAAGCTGCAGTTCCATTTCTCTTCTACCATTCTGTTTTCGGCAGTAGATCAAATATGTAGTGACAGTGGTCCATACAATTGCATGGCCTAGTGACAGTTGTGGCCATGTTAGTTTTTGCAAGTTTACTCTGACATTCACATAAGGACAAAATTGACTAAAAATTTCTTAGAAATGTTCTCATTGTTCAACATGAGTCTATAAATCCAATGTTATTTTTTATTTATATTTGTGTGTGTGCACGTGTGTGTGCATGTGCATGTGTGGGTGTAGGTGTGGGTGTGCATGGTGATCATGCAAAGGTCAGAGCACAGCACAGGAGTCAGTTCTCCTGCCACCATGTGGATTCTAGTTATCGAACAAACCATCAGGCTTGGAGGCAAGTGCCTTTACCCTGGAAACCCTCTCACCGACCCTGTACACAAGGTTTAAACACAGTTTATGTAATTGCAAAGTGACTCTATCCCTTGTAGGTCAGCATCTTCAGTGAACATATGGGCAGTTATACATGCATTTTGAATTTCTTCCCATTTGTGTGTGTGTGTCAGAGGTCATCACTGTCTTACTCATTTTCCACCTACTTTTCCCTTTATTTTTTATGTGGATGAGGATTGTTTTCCCTGAACATATATCTGTGTACCACTTGTGTGGTCCCAGGAAGCCAGAAGAGGGCTTCAAATTCCCTTGGTTTAGACTTAGAGAAGTTGTGAGCTGCAGTGTGGATGCTAGGAATTGAACCCAGGTCCTCTGTAAGATTATCAAGTACCCTTAACTGCCAAATCATCTCTCCGCCATATCTAAATTTTGGCAAATGTATTTATTTATACAACCAATGTCCAATCACAAATATTTTAAAACCCTAGAATGTTCCTTTATGCCTCTCCCAATTTCCCTCCCAATCTAAGGCAACTGTCCCCCTCTCTTCTCCCCCCATAGTTTAGTTTGGCATAAACAATTACACACAGTGATTCTTATAGTATATATTCCTTTGTGTAGGATATTCTCTTAATCAATGCAGGAGGGCCCAGCCCACTATGGGCAGTAATATCCCTAAGAAGGTGTGCCTGGGATGTATAAGAAATCAGCTGACCTGAGAGCAAGCCAGTGAGCAGCATTTCTTTATTTGTGATGAAAACAGCAAGGGTTTGAATTTGATACCTCCCTACCTCAGCCTCCTATGTGCTGGGATTACAGGCATGCACACCAATCCTGGCTGTCTATGCTTTTTTTCTCCCCAAGACAAGGTTTCCCTATGTAACCTCTGGTGGTCCTGGAACTTAGTCTGTAGACAAAGCTGACCTTGAACTCAGAGATCCACCTACATCTGCCTCCCAAATGTTGGTTGGTGTTAAAGACGTGTACCACTACTGCCTGGCTTTGTTTATGCATTTTTTAAAAAAATACTTTAGGGGTTTTGTTGCAGTTTCCTATTTCTTTTGGTACTTAGCTTGATGTAAGTGGATCTGACGGATTACAAGGTTTTCTTATTTTTTGAGACAGGGTCTCTCACTGAATTTAGGGCCTGCCAACTGAGCTAGACCACCTGGCCAGCAAGCCCCAGGAATCCTCTTATTTACCCAGTACTGGGATTATAGGAGTGTGTTGGTGTGCCCAGCTTTTTCATGGATGCTAGGGATTTTGTTGTTTGATTTTATTTTGTGTGTGTGTGCACACATGCACACACTCCCACAGACCTTAGAGCTACAGATAGTTGTGAGCCACCTGACATGGTAGGTACTAGGACCTGAACACAGAGGCCCAGTAAGAACAGCAAACACTCTAAACCACTGTGCCACCTCTCCAGCCCTGGATACTCAGGTCTGACTGTATCATCTCCCTGGCCCTGGATCTTGCTGTTTTCATCAGTACATGAACACATGGATGAGTAACAGTTCATA